TAAAGAAAAAAAAAAAAAAAAAAAAAAAAATTTTTTTTTTTTTTTTTTTTTTTTTTTTTTTTTTTTTTTTTTTGTAGAGGAGGCCCGCGAGTTAAATAATTACGAAAATGCAGATGCCCTCCTTACAGACTTCGGCAAACGTAAACCCTAAACCCTAAACCCTAAACCCTAAACCCTAATAAGCCTTAATGAACCCTAGTATACCCTAATAAACCCTGATAAACACTAATAAACCCTAAACCCTTGCTCGTAATGTTGTATAGAGAAGACCATAAGGATGCAACGACAGATGGTAAAAAACAGCGGCGCTAAACCCTAACCCCATAAAACCTTGGGGGAGGTACCCCCTCTAAACCCTAAACCCTAAACCCTAAACCCTAATTTTTTTTTGTGTTATGCTTGTTGTTTAGCCTTTTACTTTAGACCGGGCTCATTTGATGGCGCAATTTCTATTAGTGCAATTCAGTGGCTCTGTTCGGATATTAAGTCTGACGGTGGTGCTGCTGCTGCTGCTGCTGCAGCAGCAGCAGCAGCATACACAGATGCAGCAGCAGCAGAAGTAGATGAAGATTCACAGGAAGACGACAGCGGCAGCTCCGGGGAAGATATGGATGAGGACGGGGGCATGGAGGCACGAATGCAGCGGCTGCAGCAGAAGCAGCAGCAGCATCAGCAGCAAATGCTGCTGCAGCGGCAGCAACGGAAACCTGCACTCCCCTCTACTGCCTATAGAAGACAAACTTGTTTCTTTCAACATCTTGCGCGTTCTTTAAGACCAGGCGCAAGAGCTGTACGTAAACCCTAAACCCTAAACCCTAAACCCTAGACATAAGAACCGATCTCCTTAGAGAACTAGCAGCAAATAATTCAATTCATTAAGTGTTTCTTGTTTCTGCTTCCCATGCTTCTACCTATTGCTGATACTCCTGTTGCTGCTTGTGCTGCTATTCCTGCTGCTGCTATTCCTGCTGCTGCTGCTGCTGTTGCTGCTGTTGCTGCTGCTGCTGCTGCTGCAGGCATTACAATTTTATCCTGAGAGTGCTGAGCAATTAGAGAGTTTAACTTCTGCTGCTCTTCGAAGTGGATTTGAAGGAGGACTTGTTGTTGATTATCCAAACTCTACTAGAGCTAAAAAGTATGCTGCTGCTGCTGCTGCTGCTGCTGCTGCTGCTGCTGCTGCTGCTGATGGTGATGATGATGGTGATGGTGGTCTTAGGTTTGCTGCTAGGGGTGCTGCTGATAAAGGCGCTGCTGTTGTTAGGACAGATCCGGATGCTGCTTCTGCTGCTGTTAGGGCTGTGCTTGCAACTGCTTGTTTGCTGCTGCGCTGCCGCATTTGCTCCTGATGGCCTTCTTTTTCTTGCTGCTGCTGTTGCTGCTGCTGCTGTTTGGGTCTGTGTTCAGGTACTTTCTGTGTCTGTGGCTGCCAGGAGGCAACATCAGGAAGACGCAGCAGCTGCCGAAGGCTCTTGGAACATCTGGGATTGTTAATGCAGGAAGAGAGTGAGGTCTAGGGTTTAGGGTTTAGGGTTTAGGGTTTAGAGTCAAGTGTCTAGAACTGAGGGTTTTACACTTAGGGTTTAGTTTCCCAATTTATTGGTTTGTTGGTGAATGAGTCATAGGGTTTAGGGTTTACCGTTTAGGTTTTAGGGTTTACGCTTTAGGGTGAAAGATTGAGGGTTTAGGGTTTAGGGTTTAGGGTTTGGCGCCGCAGACGTTTAATGGTTTCTGGGCGTCGCGCTAAGAAGCAAATTTCGAAGAAAGAATTTATTCAAAGAAAGAAGGAGCAACAATTGAAGAAGGTGCCAACCTATCTGCTGCTGCTGCTGCTCCCGCTGGTGCTGTTGCTGCTGTTGTTGTTGCTGCTGCTGCTGGCGTCAAATATTCTGTTGTTCTTGCTGCTGCTGATCGTTGTTATGCTGTTGCTGATTTTGGTGCTGCCTGGTGCTGTTTCATACCCCGTTCCTGCTGCTGCGGACGCAGCAGCAGCAGGCATCAGCCGCACAACCAGGAGCAGCAGCAGCAAATTCCTTATTATTTATTTTATTTGCATGCAGGGTAAGAAGGTCCGCCCTGATTCGAAGTACTCTGGAAGAAAGCGTAAAGATAAATTTTAATTTATTTGCTGCTGCAGTGGGGAGAGCGTGGACCTCCCTTGCATGCAATATATTGACAGCAACAATAAGCTGCTGCTGCTGCTGCTGCTGCTGCTGCTGCAGCTCTACCATAAGCACCAGCATTCTCTACAGAATCTGCAACAGCACTATCACTATCAGCAGCAGCAGCACTATCAGCAGCAGCAACTGCAGCACTATCATCGGCAGCAGAACTATCAGCACCAGCAGCAGCAGCACTATCAGCAGCAGCTTCTCCAGCTGCATCCCTATCACCGTCAACAGCAACAGCAGCACAGCAAGGTGGCAGCCAAGATATAATGTTGTCTTAGTTTAAAGGCCAACGAAATGCCTCTCTCGAGGCTGCATCGAACTTATTTTCTTTAATTAATTAATTAATTAATTTAATTAATTAATTAATTTATTTAATTAATTTATTTATTTTATTTAATATCTCCCTTAGGGAGCAAAGGCAGACAATACTATTCATAAATACACCACAAGCTGTAAGACATTTGTTACTTCTAGTCTTGCTGCTGCAGCAGCAGCACCTGCTGCCTGCTGCCGTGTACACCTCATCTCAATGTGCTGTCCCGCTGCTGCTTCACTACTGTTCCACTTCTTGCTGCTGCTGCTGCGGTGGCGGCGGCTGCTGTGGCTGCTCCTGCTGCTGTGGCAGCGGCTGCTGTTGCTGCTCCTGGTGCTGCTGTGGCAGCGGCTGTTGTGGATGCTCCTGCTGCTGTGGTGGCAGAGGCTGCTGTGGCTGCTCTTGCTGTGGCTGAGGCTGCTGTGGTTGCTGTTGCTGCTGCTCTGGCAACGGCTGCTGTGGCTGCTGCTGCCGTTGCTCTTCGGATAGCTGCTGCTCCTCCTCCTCTCCCTCTACGTCATCGTCCCCTTCTGAGGCTTCCCCTTCCTGCTGCTGTTCTTCGTGCTCTTGCTGCTCTTCGTGCTCTCCGGGCTGTTCAGGCTGTTCGGGCTGTTCGGGCTGTTCGCACGGTTCGGGCTGTTCGGGCTGGTCGTGCTCGTTCCCTTCGTGCTCGTCGTTCCCTTCGTGCTCGCCGTGCTCGTCGTGCCCTTCATGGTCTTCATACTCGTCGCGCCCTTCGTGCTTGTCCTGCTCGTCGTGCCCTTCATGCTCGTCGTACTCGTCGTGCCCTTCATGGTCTTCATACTCGTCGTGCCCTTCATACTCGTCGTGCCCGTCGTGCCCTCCATGCTCGTCGTGCCCGTCGTGCCCTCCATGCTCGTCGTGCCCGTCGTGCCCTCCATGCTCGTCGTGCCCGTCGTGCCCTCCATGCTCGTCGTGCCCTTCATGCTCTTCGTACTCATCGTGGTCTTCGTACTCTTCGTGCTCTTCGTACTCTCCTTGACCTCCCTGCCTTTTTTGCTCTTTCTGCTCTTTTTGCTCTTTTTGCTCTTTTTGCCCTTGCTGCTGCTGCTGCTTGGCTAGGAAGTGTGAGGAAGGCAGGTCTCTTAGAGCGCTAGTGCGGGCAGACCTGAATATATCCCATGCCTGTGCAACGGAGTACTGCAGCAGCTGCTGCAGCAGCACGTCATGCTGCTCCCTTATTGGCATCCATGATTGCTTCCTCTGCTGCTGCTGCTGCTGCTGCTGCGGAGACAGGTAAAGGCGCGTATCGAATGTGCTGTTATCCTCCGCGGATCTATCTACGGGAGGAGCATCTGCTGGTGCTGCCGCAGCAGCAGAGGTCGGCTCCCCTGACAGACCAGCAGGATCGGGGGGCCCGTCTGCTGCTTCTGGTTGTGGGGTCGCTGCAGCTGCAGCAGCAGCAGCAATGGCAGCAGCAGCAACAGCAGAACCGAGCAGCTGGCCAAACGGGAAGTCCGATCCTCCTGCTGAAACACTACGACGCAAGGGAGGCGTTGTAAGAGCGTTGTCGTCTTCGTAGTCCGCTGCTGCTGCTGCCTGTTCTGCTGCTGCTGCTGAAGCAGCACCAGCAGGTTCTGCTGCTACCGAGTCAGCTGCTGCTGCCGTTGCTGCTGCAGCTGACGATGATGAAGTGTCGCCTCCAGTCACTGCAGCAGACGAGTCAGCAGCACTGCCGTCGTTTGCTGCTGCTGCTGCTGCTTCTGCAACCTGCTCTAAGGAGATGCCACTAAGGACAACAAAGATCTTAGAGGCCTTCCTAAGGAACATTTCTCCTTATAAGGAAATAAAACAAGAAAGCAATACAAATATAAACACAAAAGTAACAATTATAAAGATTGTCAATTGATATACACCACAATATACAAGCAAAGTTAGACAAAGGCAGAGGTCACTTCCTTCCTTGACCAGTGGTCTTGCTGCAGTGGCAGGGAAAAGAAGCGAAAAAAGGCACTGTTCTTATCGTCAATCGAGTTAATTAATTATAAATAAAGTGTTGTAAACTAAAGAACACCGTTAGAGCAGCCAACGCCTTTTATAGACAGGAGGGAGGCAGCAGCAGCCGCTTCTGCTGGTGGTGCCGCTGCTGCCAAAGGTCACCTTGCTCTCCTCACGCGGTGCGCCTAAATAAAACGGCAACGCGCACATTTAATTAAATTGGTTAATTTTAATTAGTTGAATATAATTAATTTAGTTAAATCCATTTAGATATTGACTATTCATATATTTTGCCGCAGTAGACCCGTAGAAGCTCCGCAGCAACAGCAACAGCAGCCGAGAAGACAGCAGCACTTATTCCTCTATCAGACACATATCCTTGAAACAGTTTGCTTGCTTTTCTCTAGACACTAAAATAATTCCTTTTAGCAACGTAGAAAGAAAAGAAAAAGAAAGAAGGAAAAGAAATGAAAAAGGAAAAGAAATGACAGCACAATTTTGCGTTTGCTGCAGGAAGTTTTGCTGCGCGTGCAAATCAGTGCAGCGTGCAGCAGCTCCACATACAGTCCGCCAAGCTGGCCGCAGCAGCAGCAAATCTGCTGCTGCTGCTGCTGTGGCTGCCCCACAGCTTCTCTCTCAGCTGTTACCACGCAGCTACGCCATACCTACTAGAGCTCCCGCAAGGCTGCAGTGCAGTGGTGCTGCTACTGCTGCAGTTGTTGCAGTTGTATCACAGCACCTACTGCTACAGTTGATGCTGCAACAGCTGCTTCTGCAGCTGTAGCACGGCGACTGCTGCTGCAGTTGATGCTACTGCCACTGCTGCTGATAGAGCTGCGGCTGCAGCTGCAGTTGGTGCTGCTTACACGCACGCAGCAGCAACTGCAGCAGTAGTTGTTGTGCAACAGCAGCAGCAGCAGCAAGTGAGCTGCTTAGAAATCTAAGCTAGCTTCCCACCATGGGTGACGCAGAACTTGATCAAGCAGCAACCTTTTATCTGGATCTTCTTCTATACATCCCTGCAAACACAAGCACAACACAAGCAAATGCAAAGGTAGAGGGAATTAAAATAGCATAGGGATGCTTCTGATGGTGCTGGTGCTGCTGCTGCAGCTCGTGCTGCTGCCGCTGCTGCTGCTGGCCATTCTGTGTGTGCTGCATCCAAAGTAGCTGCGCTATCTATTTATTGCCTGCTACCGCTGGTGCAACAGCGACAGCAGCACAGCAGCAGCGGCATTTTTTCCTTCCAGCCTGCTTTGCTGCACTGCCTGTGCCGCGGGAGTTGGTGATCCTCCTCGTTTTTCGGCGGCAGCGGCAGCAGCAGCAGCAGCAGCAGGATGTTAGTAGGGTGTACAACAGACCCGAATAAGATCTAAAAGAAGGGGAGGCCAATTGCTGCACTCCGAGAAGACAGAGAAATTATAACCACCAGATACTAAACTTGCATATCTGCAGCACACACTCAAACTTTGCTGCTGCTGCTGCTCATGCTGCTGCTGCTCATGCTGCTGCTCGTTGTGGTGCTGCGTGCGTGCTGCTGCTGCTAGCAGGAAGAGTCTCTCTGTTTAAATGTTATATATCTATATATTGCACACTATACGTCATAGGAATGTGTATAATAAGGAAATACATATATAAATAGGTACAGACAAATATAAATACATTCATATATGCATATACAAGGAGATAAACAAGTATATAAATATGTATATTTATAGATAAAAATACATAAGTGAGTATAAAAACGAATCAGAACTAAAGAAATAAAGAAAAGAGTAATAAAAAGAAGAAGAAATAGGAAGAAAAGTACAAATAAAAAGGAAAAACTTACTGTATATCTTGTGAGGCATCAGATACACCCCACACTGCTCCATCTGCCCATGTATAAAAGAGCAGCACCCCTAGCATAAATATATCTGCCTTCCTTACATCGAAAAATACAAGAGATAAATCAACCCCCCCTTTCCCTCTTCTTCCTACTGCTCCTGCTGCTGACGGTGCAGATCCTGCTGCTGCTGTTGCAGGGGCTGCTACTCGCAGCTGCAGAGGAGGAGGCGGTCGACCCGTCAGCAGCAGAGGCTCGCAAATCTGCGCAAAGGGAAGAGTTATTCCTGCATACAACAGCAGCAGCAAATCATAAAAGCTTTTGTGTGTGGTTCTGCAGCAAGAACAGCAGCAACAGCAGCAGCAGCAAGAACAAAGGCACGAGCAACAGAAGTAACAGAGATTTAGCAGTCTTTTCTCTTCGTGTTGCTGCTGTGGTTTGCTGCTGGCGCACGCTACATCCATCTCTACTTATGCAGCAGCAGCTGCTCCTGCGACTGTTGTTGCTGCTACTGCTAATGGATAAGAGTAAGCAGAAAGAAACTGACCTAGGGCACGAACTGCATGCAGGGCCTTCCATGCTTCTGGTGGCATATAAGGCCCCTTTGCTATAGTTGGCTCGCAGCTAATAAAAGGCGGTAAGTCTTCTGTTGCTGCTGCTGTTGCTGTTGCTGCTGCTTCTGATTGGGGGTCAGGTTTCCTGCTGCTGTTTTCTTTGCTGCGCTGCGGCAGCAAAGAAGAAGGAAGACGAAGATTAGACCAATTAAAAAGAGGCGTGGCCTTAGCAAAGTCGCATGCCCGTAGCTGCAGAGGAAACCCTTCTGCTGCTCCCCTGCTGCTGCTGCTGCTACTACTGCTACTACTAGCGCAGCCGAGCAGCAACGAATGAACAAGAATGTTCTCAGGGGTAAAATCAAGATGGGCAAGACCAGCAGCATGCAGAGAATGCAGCAGCAAGACAAGAGAAAGCTGCAGCTTCCTCTTAAAGGTAGGGGACATCTGCACATACACCGCAGCATTAATCAGGTGTAAATACACCTAGGGCTGCAGCAGGTCAACAGATAAGAGATAAACGGAAAGACGAACAGGCAATAAAGGAGATAAAAGGGACAAAAGGAGACAAAAGAGGAGACAAAAGGGCGGCAACAGGAGACGCAACAGGAGGCAGAAGAGGAGGCAAAAAGGCAAAAGAGGCAACAAAAGAGAAGACAAAAAGAGATAACAAAGGGGACAAAAAGACGCAAAAAGGGAGAGAAAACAGAATATAAAAGGGGACAAAGAAGGGAATAAAAGGAGACAAAAACCCATATAAAAGAAGGAAAAAAAGAGACAAAAAGTAGACAAAGAGGAGACAAAAAGGAGACAAAAAGGAGACAAAAAGGAGACAAAAACGTGCCGGTTTGTGTTCTTCGACAAAGTCGAGTAAATCCGATTGACCGAAAAGTTGAAAGACAAGAATAATGCGCTCAGTACGCTGCCTTTTGCTGCTGCTGCTGCTGCCGCCGCCGCTGCTGCTGCTGCTGCTGCTGCTGCAACTGGTGTTGGTTGTGGTGGTGGCGGCGGTACCGTGCTGCTGGGGCTGTTGCTGCTGTGCTTCCGTTTTGCTGCTGCTAAGAGGACTCCTACAAGCCTCCTGCTGCCCCCGCTGCTGCTCCCGTTGGTGCTCGGGCTGCTTCTGCTGCTGATGATGTGCTTCTACGCTGTCTTCTGCTGCGCTGCTGTCAGTCAGCACTGCTAGCAGAGGAGCGACGCATTGGGGATGGTACTCTGCAGCAACAAACAGCAGCAAATCTTTTATTTATTTATTTATATAATTATATATTAAACACATGTATATTTATATATTAATACATAGTTTATTTATTTATCTGTTTATTCATTTATTTATTTGCCTACTTATCTACAAAGACAGGAAGAATCAGGGGTCTTTAATGGATTTTCCCTCTCTTAAAATAACGGGAAAACTGCCAATCTTAGGGTTTAGGGTTTAGCGTTGGTGGCGTAGGGTTAAGGGTTAGGGTTTACGTGTAAGGAATGCTGCAGCAGCAGCTTCTCCTACATAATTTTCTCCATCACAAAGAAACAATCCATGAAATCTTTGCTGCTGCCTCCATTGCTGCTGCCACACCTTAGCGGGGACTTGTTTAACAAACACTTTTCGTCCTGACTTTAGGCGCCCTCTATACATCCGCTGTACGTACACCCCAGCATACAATACATGCACGCAGGCAGACACAGGCAGGCATACACACTCGGCGGACGACGTCGCAGAAGAGGGGATTCTAGGGTTTAGGGTTTAGGATTAGAGTTAAGGTTTAAGTTTAGTGTTTAAGAATAGGGTTTGGGGTTTAGGGTTTAGGGTTTACCTGTTGTCGTTGGCTGTTTTGCGCCGCGCCTACAGTGGGTACAAGAGACAACTTCCAGTGTCTGTACAGCTCGCCATCAATGGAGAAGTTATCTGCTGGTTGCTGCAGCTGCAGCAGCAAGTTGCTGCATGTCTTCCATGTAAAGGGGACGCGAGGTGGTAGCAGTGAGGAGGGGATCCCCAGTGTGCTGCTGTTGCTGCTGCTGCTGCTGCTACTGCTGCTACATGTGCTCCTGTTGCTGCTACAGTTGCTGCTGCTGCTGTTGGCGGTAGTGTTGCTGCTCCTGCTTATACTGCAGCTATTGTTGCTGCTACTGACACTGTTGCTGCTGTTGTTGCTGTTACTGTTGCTGGAGCCGGTGCTGTAGCTATTATCGTAATGGTTGCTGTTGCTGTTACTGTTGCTACTGTTGCTATTACCGTTGCTGTTGCTGTAGCTATTTTCGTCGTTGTTGCTGCTGTTGTTGGGGGCGTTGCTGCTACTGTTGCTGTTGCTGTTGCTGGAGCTAGAGTTGGAGCTGTTTCTCCAGCCGTTGCCGTTGCTGTTGTTGCTGCTGCTGTTCCTGCTGTTGCTGTTGCTGCTGTTGCTTTTGCTGCTGCTGCTGCGAGCTGTTGCTGCTGCTGCTGCTTCCGAGATGAGTGTTGATGCTGCAGACTGTTGGTGGGTTTGTGTTGTCCTACGAGGGGTTATATCAAATGAGAAGACACTTCTGGTGCTGCCTTCTTCTGGATCAGCTTCTTCAGCTGCTGTTGCTGTTGCTGCTGCTGCTGCTGCATCTCCTGACCTGTGTGCTGCTACATCACTATTTGCAACTGCTGCTGCAGCTGCTGCGGCAATTTCTCTTCTATGCTCCGGCTGCTCTACAGAATGTCTGGGAGGCTCTACGAGCGCAGAGGCAGGAGCTGATAGAGGCAAGCTAACCCAAGCAGACAGCTCAAGCGTATGCTGCTCCTGTTGCTGTTGCTGCTGTTTCTCCTTCTGTTGGATCTGCTGGTTCTGATGGTTCTGATGCTGCTTGTGCTGCTGCTTGTGCTGCTGCTGGTGCTGCTGCGGTTGCTCTTGCTGGCTACAGACACGGTAAGAAAAGCCTTCCCTAGGCGCCGCACCGTAAAGAGCGTCCCCAGTAAACTGAGCGGATTTGCTGCTGCTGCTGCTGTTGCTGCTGCTGCCAATGCTGCTGCCGCTGCTGCTGGCAGCTGCTGCTCTGGATTCAGCAGCAGCTCCATCGCCAGCAGCAGCGGCAGCGCCGTTTTTTGGCTGCGTTGGAGCGACAAATGCTGCAGTAGTAGCAGCAGCAGCAGTATGCGCAGAAGCACCACCAGCTGGGGCAGCACCGGCAGCAGCGTAGCGGCTGCCTGGCTGTCGTGACGTCGTATACACTTCACCAGTAGCAGGCTGCAAGGCAGCAGCAGCAAACATTGATATTTGTCTCTGTCTCTCTGCCTCCCTTTTTTTTGCTGCTTCTGCTGCTCGCTTTGCTGCCTCTCTCTGCCTGTGCTGCTGCACCAGCTGCTGCAGCACTTGCCGTTGCTGCTCGCGCGCCCGTTGCGGTTGCACCTGCTGCTGCTGTTGCTCCAGCTGCTGTCGATACTGCTGCAGCTGTTGCTGCTTCTCCTCAAGGAAGGCATCCACCTGAGCCCACGGTGTATCGCCTCTTCTAGAGAGCACCCTCCTCGTGAAGGACCCGGGCTCTGCCTGAAGCTGCTGATGCTGCTGCTGTTGCTGTTGCTGTAGCTGCTGCTGCTGGGCCTCTTGAGCCTTGGTAGCAGCAGCAGGGACAGCAGTGGTTGTTGCATTACCAAGGTGCGAATTACAAACCATGGGTCGAACCGGTCTTCGGCTAAGCGCTGCTGCTGTTTCTGCTGGTGCTGCTGTTGCTGTAGATAGGGAAGAACACCCACTGGCTTGCTGCTGTCTACCACACCCCCGGGAAGGGCGGGGCTCGCTATTGTTGTGCTGCTGCTGCTGCTGTTGCAGAAAAGAGTTTTGTTGGTGCTGCGCTGGTTGCGAAGCAGCACTGCCCCGCTCTACCATATCTGCTGCAGAACTCGCAGCAGCAGCAGCAACAGCAGCAACAGCACAGGGGTCTACTGCATCACTGCGGGCTGCTGCTGCTTTCCCCCTAATGCTGTTGCTGCTGCTTCTCTGCTTCCAAAAGCTGACGGGCGAAGAATGCCTCGGAGTTGCTACGCCGCTGTTGCTGTGCCCTATCACGTGCTGCTGCTGCTGCTGAGAAGCAAGGACCGTCGAAGGCGGGTTGATACTAGCGGCTCTCTTCTTAGCAGCAATCAAGGCGGCTCGTGCTGCTGCCGCAGCTCGCGCTGCTCTGAACCGTGCTGCGTTTGCTGCAGGCGACTGCCCAGCAGCTTCTGCAGCAGCTGCAGCACGCTGCGCTGCATCTTCTGCTGCTGCTGCTGCGCGTTCGGCTTGCCTAAGGGCGGAAGAAGCAGCAACCGATCCGTCGTCAAGACAGTCTCTCCCGACGCCTGCTGTTGCTCCTGCAATTGGCGTTGCAGAAGCAGCTGCTGCTGCCTCTGCTTCTGCTGCAGCTGGTGCTGCTGTACCTTTCAGCTGCGGATCGAGTATAACAGGGACACGCTGGTAGGTCTGTACAGGGGACAAGGAGCCTGCAGACGCAGACGGCTGCAGTCGGCGCCACTGCTGCTGTTGCTCCTGCTTTGGCCGTTGCTGCTGCTGTTGCTGCTGCGGCTGCTCTTCCGGCTGCTGTTGCTCTTCCTGCTGCTGGTTAGGGGAACATGGTGTGGAGGAGGTACTCTCAAAGTGGCTCAACCCAGCTTGCGCCCCGCCAAGGCCTAAAGCGCAAAACATCAACAGCAGCAGCAGCAGGAGCAAAGGCAGCAGCAGCATGAGAAGAAGCAGCATTAGCAGCAACAAAATGGAGATAGAGCAGTATGGAGGATAAGTGCCATATGTTGCTGTCGTCGCCGCAGTAACCGCCCCCGGGCTATGTAACTACCCCACCACAAGCGGCAGGAACAGCAAGAGCAGCAGCGGCAGCACAGCTGCTCATGCTGCTGGTGCTGCATTCTAGTTAACTTACGTGGTGTGTCTGCGTTCAGCGGAGAGACCCTCGGGGTTCTATTGAAGGTATCTGGAGACAAGGGGCAGCGGCTGCAGCAGTCCTGTGAGTTGTCAGGCTGTACATATCCCTGTTCCTGCTGCTGCTGCTGTGACTGTTGCGTTTGCTGCTGGGGTCTGGTGCTGTTCCAGCACTGCAGTGGGTTGAACGGCGTAGAGAAGCTGCTGCTGCTGCTGCTGCGTAACAGCGCAGCAGGGGCAGAGTTAGGAGAAATTGCTGAATAGCGGCTAAGAGATGATGAGTCTGCCTGAGTGGGCCAGGCGCTAAAGGCATATCGGTGGTGCTGTTGATGCTGCTGCTGTCCCCGTTGCTGACTCTGCCTCATGTTAAATGGCGATATTGCGTCAATGGGGGAATACGCTGCATGCATCGGGGCCCCAGCCCTGAAGGGGCTGCTGGCTGGTGAGTATAAGCGTGCATGCAGTGGCAAGAAAGCAGCAGCAGGTGGAGAGCGAGGGTGCTGGTCTGCTGTTGCTACTGCTTCTGCTGCAGCAGCTGCTGCAGCATCAGCTACTGCTGCAGCCGCTGCTGCAGCAGAAGCAGTAGCGGTAGGTGATATTGCTGCTCCTCCTGCTGTTCTCGGCAGCAAGCCGGGAGAGCAACTGCCAATTCCCACAGAACCAGCAGGCGTTAGGACGGGAGACGTCGAGCAGTTGCTTAGAGTGTGCACCGGCCGCTGCTGCTGCTGCCGCTGCTGCTGCTGTTGCTGCTGTTGCTGTTGCTGAGTGGCACCGAACCCTATAAGACTGGCTGCATTGCGTGGTGTGGGGCCCGACTCTATCCATCGGTAGGATGACGTAGGTGTAGGCAATTTGTTTTGCTTTTGCTGTTCGTCAATCTTCTGCTGCTGTTGTACTGCTGCATCGTTGCGAAGTGGGGCAGCATGCCCCACCAAGGGAGTGCCTCTTTTCTGCTGCTCCTCCTCCAGCTGTCTCTCCAGTTGAAGACGCTGCCGCCTCAGGTTGCGTTGCTCCTGCAGCAGCTGCTGCTCTCGAAGGTGCAAAGGAGACGGCTGCTGCAGCGGCAACTGTGCCAGTTGCTGCTGCTGCTGCTGCTGCTGCTGCTGCAATGTCTGCTGCTCCTGAGGAAAAAGCCTCCTGTTCGGAGTGCTAGGACTCAGGCTGTCCGCTCTTCTGAGAAGAGCCGAGCTCAAACTGTGCTGCCGCCCAAACGGCGATTGCTGCTCCTGCTGCAGCTGCTCCTGCTGCAGCTGCTCCTGCTGCAGCTGCTCCTGCTGCAGTACAGGAGATAGTAGCCGCGGGCTTGGGGGGAGATGCACCGTCCCGCTTGTGTTGTAACGCACCGGGCGCGTTTGCTGCTGCTGCTGCTGCTGTTGCTTCCGCATCCGCTGCTGCTGCATGCGAGCTGAAGGCCCAAGATCCACAGGCAGTGAGTTGCTGTGGACCAAAGAAGAGACTGCAGCAGGAGCGCTGGTTGCTGCTGCAGCAAGTGTTGCTCCCTCTGCTGCAGCAGCAAGCGCTGCTCTCTCTGCTGCTAGCTGAGCTGTTGAGGCCCCGGTCTTAGCCGCCATTGCTGCTGCTGCTGCTGCTGCCGCTACCCCTTGAGGTACTAGCTGCTGCTGCTGCAGCTCCTGCAGCCGTGCACATGCTGCTGTGGCATTTTTAGCAGCAGCGGTTGCCCTTGCAGCAGCTACTGCTGCTCGGTCTGCAGCAGCTTTTGAAGGAGAGAAGCCAAGGGGTAATTCAACGCTCTGCTGCTGCTGGAGTACCTGCTGCTGCAGCATCTGCTGCTGCAGAGCCTTGTCGTGCAGTGTCTGCGGCTGTCCGGCAGTTGAAGCGGGGGCTTCAGCTGCAAAAGTAATGAGGCCTCCGGAGTCAAAAGAAAGCAATGGCTCAGCTGTCTCTATCGTCTGCTGCTGCTGCTGCTGCTGCAGTTGCTGGTGTTGCAGCTGCTGCCGCTGCTGCAGTGGCAGCAGAGCTGGTGCGCCTTGTGGTGTTGGGGCATTTCGAGAGCCCGGAGGCGGCGAACTGCGGTGCACTGGAGATGTAGCAAGGAACGCATCCTGCGGCTGGTGCTGCAGCTGTGTCTGACGCTGCTGCAACTGCTGCTGTTGCAGAGTGGAGTGTATCGGCGAAGGGAGGGAAGCAGGCAGCGGTTGCGGCACCAATGGGCTCATGGATTGTTGCAGCGACTGATGTGGCATCTGTGACAGAAGCTCCTCCTGTTGCTGCGGCGGCAAAGGAGGCAGCAGAAGTTGCTGCGGTTGCTGTTGCTCCTGCAAAAGAGGCGACGCATGCTGCTGCGGAGGAGACTGCAGGGGCTGCTGCAGCTGCTGCAGCGCACTTGTGGTTGTCTGCAGGTGTGTCAGAGAGGCAGTTGATAGAGGGGATTGGGTACTCACTACAGAAGAAGATATCAGGTTATTTTCCTGCTGCTGCTGCTGCTCTTGCTGATGCTGCTGCTCTTGGTGTTGCTGCAGCAGTGCTTCTTGGGCAACAAAGCTATTCAGCAATGACCCCTGCAGCACTGGCTGAACCGTCGGCAGGCGGAGGCTCTCAGGGATTGCCGCAGATGAACTTGGTAGCTGCATCCGCTGCTGCTGCAACAGCCCCTGCTGCAACAGCTCCTGATGCTGCAGCAGGGGTTTTGGAGATAGAGCAGCAGGGTCCAGTGGCGGCAGCTGCAAAAGAGCAGCAGGAGAGGCGGATCCCGCAGAAGAAGCAGAGTAGACATGCGCAGGTGTGCTGCTGCAGCGGGAAGCTGTGGGACTCTTCAGTGCTGATGCTGCTGCTAGGCTGTCCGCTCTGGCAGCAACTTCAGCAGCACTGCGGGCCCGTGCTGCTGCTGCTGCTGCCCTCATCGCTCCATCAGCAGCAGCAGCAGCGTGACGACGCATTGCAGACAGGGCAGGGGAGACTGGGTAGCTGTTACGCCGCATATGCAACTGTTGAGGGACAACATCAGCGGCACGTGCAGCAGCAACACTAGCAGCTGCAACCGAATCCGCCCCAGGTGGGCTCCATGTACCCGCAACGGCACCTGAAGGGAGCACAGTTGTGCTGCTGCTGCCACGGCTCAGTAGCTTTGTCAGACTTTCGTTGCTGCGGCTGAATGGATGTGCCTCTACTTCTGCTGCTGCTGCTGCTGCAGCACGGGGAGAGGGGTCAGAGAGAAAGCGCCGCCTGGGACGCTCCCACGGTTGAAGGCTAGTAGGTCTAAGAGGCGACGGTGCCAATGCAGCACAGGCATCAACAGCAGGTGCAACAGCAGGTGTAGCAGCAGCAGGAGCAAGAACAGGAGGCACATGGAAATGAGTTTCTGAGCCAAGGGTTGCTGCGGAGGTAGGAGCAGCAGCAGCAGCAGGACACAACTGCGGCCCCACTAATATTGAAGCTGCTGCAGGCAGTCCCCGTTGCTGCTGCTGCTGCACATGTTGCTGCTGCTGCTGCTGTTCTTGCAGGATTGTAGGCGACAGTGAGGCACCGAAGGCTGCGGTTGACTGCTGCGTTGTAGGAGTTGCCTCTAAGTACGCAGCAGGAGTGCTCTCCACTGCTGCACCAGTAGCTGCTGCTGCTGCTGCTGCCGCTGCTGCCGCTGCTGCTGCTGCTGCTGCTGCTGCCAGTGGAGACTGTGGCCGCAGCGGCTCGTGCGGCGTGGTGACGGGCTGCAACTGCTGAAGGGGTGGCGTGGCTATCGACGCTGAGGGGCCCCAGATAGCGGCTGGTGATGAAATTGGTGCTGCTCTTGCTGCTGTTGCTGCTGCTGTTCTTGCTGCTGCTGCTGGTAGTGCTGCCGGTGTTACATGTGCTACGTAGGAAGGAGGCCAAGACTGCCGACGCGGCCTTGCAGCAGCAGCAGCAGCTGCTGCTGCTGCTGCAGCTGCTGCTGCAGCTGCTTCCCCTGTTGGTGACACAATGTTGCTGCTTCTACGAGTCGGCTTATAGGCCCAGCAGTCGCTGCGCGTTTTCAGCGGCGGTAGCGCTTGTTGTTGTTGCTGCTGCTGTTGTTGCTGCTGCTGCAGCCAGGCGACAGGCGTTCTTTGGTGTATCTCTTGTTGTGAGGAGAAAAATGTCGTTGATGCAGTGGCTAGCGGCTGCTGCTGCTGCTGCTGCTTCTCTGCGTGAACTTCCTGCTGAGCCAGTGGTGGCAGTGAGGCAGGACTTGCACTAGGTACTTCCGAAGCAGCAGCAGCAGCTGCTGCAGCAGCAGCAGCTGCTGCTGCTGCAGCTGCTGCTGCTGAAGAAGCGCGTGGAGTCTGCGACAACACACTGCCTCCATATGGGGCCGAAAGGACAGCAGGGCTCGTGTGCATGCGGGCAGGTCTCTGCTGCTGCTGCTGCTGCAAATGTTGCTGCTCTCGTTGCAACTGAAATGGGTCGGCGATTGTATGCATGTGACGGAGAGGTAAAGGAGCGTACGGCACGAAGGTTGCATATGTGTGCTGCTCCTGTTGCTGCTGCTGTTGCCGTTGTTGCTGCTGCAGCTGTAACGCATGAATGCAAGCTGGGAGGGCTGCGGGGGAGACAGCCTGTGCTGCTGCTGCCGCTTGCTGGACAGATGCTGCATAGGCGGCGGGCAGGAAAATGCCTTGCTGTTGTTGCAGCTGCTGCTGTGGCTGCGTTTGCTGTTGCTGCTGTTGCTGCAGTGTATTGAGCACAACGCCCCCTCCAGAGGATGCTGCAACACGCCGCAGCGCAGCAGCAAGATCTGCTTCACCAGGAGCAAAAGTATGGATCAGGATATGCGTTTGCACGGCAGGTTGCTGCTGGTGCTGCTGCTGCTGCGTTGTGCCTACCTGCACCCAGGCTACGTGGTCACCTGTAGCAGGTGCTGCGGCAGCGGAACTGCTGCTGGGGAATTCAGCGGCCGTTTGCTGAGGCAGCTGCTGCGATGTTTCAGCTGCAACAGCTTGATGGGACAGCGTAAGCGCAGCGCTGCATGCAGCAGCAGCAGCAGCAGCAGCTGCTGCTGCTGCTGCTGGCGTCGTTGCAGCATTGCCAGGAGGCTGGGGCACCCCAGAAGCCGTCGGTCTCCCCGATTCTCCCTCCAGCTGCATCTCTATGGGAAGGGAACCGCCTGGGAGCGCGCTTCTTCGGCTGCGGCTGTTGGTGATGCAGCAGCAGCAGCAGCGACGGTTTTGGTGCTGCTGTTGCTGCTGCAGGGGGCTCTAAGGCGCAGCTCCATGGGCCTTGGGTGGAGGCGACAACTGCTTGGAAACTGCTGCTGCGTCTGCAGTTGCTGTTGCTGTTTCTGTTACTGCTGTTGCTGTTGATCTTGTTGTTGCTGCTGCTGTTGCGGCCGCTGTTGATGTTGTTGTTGCTGCTGCTGTTGCTGCTGCTTGCAGTGCCTTGAACGTGTATGTCAATTGGCTAACAGAAGAGAGTCATGGGGGGCCCCTTAGGGGCCTTGTAGTCTGTTGCCTTTGACCCCTTTTTAGAAGCATCTTATGGCGAACTATTGCAACAGCAGCAACAGAAACAGCAGCAACAGCAGCTGCAGCAACGCCGCGGCAGTGGCAGCAGCAGCAGCAGCCGCAAGGGCCCAGATGCTCCGGTGAGGGATCAGAAGAGGGTTAAGGATGCAGAGGCAGCGCAACAGGTTGTTGCTTGTTTAAAGTGATGGCTGCGTTCACATTAGTGTGTTTACACGATCCCCCGTTCCCTGGTGACGATCCCACATCTGCAGACACGATCCCAGTGCTTCTGGGAGACACTCCCACGGGCATGCGGAGCACGTCGCACAGTGCCCGCCCACTAGATCAGCCTCAGGACGAGCTGGAAGCTGGTGTTGCTTTCTGTTAGAGCGAAGAGGTCTTATGCAGGGCACCACCGCCTCGTAGGTGATCTGCACGAGGAAATCGTGGAAAAGACCACACACACGCTCACACAGCGAAGCAGTCGCCAAGGGACACATACATACACCCGAGAGCCGCTAATAACAAGCGGAAGCATTGCTGCTGCTGCAAACATTCTGCTGGTGTTGCGGTTGCTGCTGCTGCGCCTCTTCCTGCGCTTGCGCTGTGGGGCTGAGTTGTCCGGTCATGGTGGCCGCTCGCGTTCCACCGCTGATCGACCCGTTTTTCTGTGTATATTTTGATAATTTAATATAATTTCAGTTTAAAATAAACGAAAGTGATAATTTAGGAGGATGCTTTGCATCTACGGGCCTGTCAAGCACCGCCTGCAAATCTGAAACCCACCAGCCCGCTCGCAGGGCAAAGGTTGACAACGTCGAAGACTTGCAGTATTTAAATGAAATATTTTAAAAGTGTTTGGGTTTTTATGTTTTGCCCCTGATAAGTTGAGGATAATCGGATGCACCGCCTTCTGTGGTGTATACCCTCCGCACTTTCGTGCATTGACGGCGGCGTGGAGGCAGGAGGCAGCACATGTGTCTTGGCTTTCACTTGGTATTCCCTTAAGATGTCATGGCTACACTTTTCTCCTCATTTTATATTCATTAGGAACTGGATCCAATAGCATCCGGCCTGTATGTGTTGCGGCAGCATTGTCTTTTTTTCTCTAAGTGCTAAATATAAATACTACAACTTGTCTGCAGTGGTTCTTGAGATGTCTCGATATGATTTGGAGACCTTCCTAGGTTGTTGCTTTAACAATAGTTTCTTAGAATCCAATACGCCGTTTTCCTGGGATATGAGGCGGCTATACCTGTCGCTATGCTTGAGGGCAAGTAGAAAGGCACAGCATCGCCGAAAGTCAGCACAACCAAGCCCCCTTTCCTGCAAGCATAAACCTTATACATAGTTGCTAAAAATGCATACTTGCCATTTGATAGGCAGGATACAGTATGTCCACTTCTAGCAGATCTTGCTGCGTAAAGGGGATCACTCATTCCTGCTGCCAACATGGCAGGAGGAATGATCCCCTTCTTTATGCAGGCATGACTACGAAGCGGGACGCACAGTGGCGGCAAACTGCAGCTGTGAGCGTTGCGCTGATTGAGAAGAATGCTCTTCTTGTGTCCTGCCAGTACGTCTCCAGTTGTTCTAGAAAAAGCCAGCGTATTATCTGTAGCTGCTGTCCGCCGGTTATTCACAAATCTTATGCTTCCTAAAGAATTGTGCTTAGTGTATAAAGCACGATCTTATAGATTCTGCTCAAATGGCTCTGGCGTTGGCCTCAATACAATGACAAATCATGAAGGTGCCATACAGCACATAAGCACCAAATGTTGACCGCGTGCAATGTGAGGAATTCCTGGGCAAATTAGAGAGCAATGTGGAACTCCGTGCATTAAAATGTCACGTGGGAAGCAACAGAACAGTGCAAACAACCTGAGTGGTGCATTGCATGCATGCAATGCACACGCACAAGTCCAAAAAGGCGCTACTACACTACTACACCGTGTACGATGACATGCCGAACAGAATGTGCTTTCCCCCATCATAGGAATTTGAGGGATGGGTACTAACTCCTGCAAATAGTTGCTTCATCATTTTGATATCTTGTCCAGAATTAATGGTCTCTCTCGTGTGGCGATGGTCCCGAATTATTGAGGAAGAGGAAGAGGATAAGCGACATCAATGATGAATAATATTCGCAAACTTTTCATCCTCACAATATGGTCTCAAGGAAGCCGCACATTCAAAAACTTAACCCGAGCATTGTTGTACAAAGGTCAGCCATATCTCAGCCTTGTGCACAGCTCTGCTACCTCACTACTTACGATGGCCTCGGCCCAACCATCGATTGTTATCCTGTCTCCAAGGATCCCAATTTCTACTTCTGAAAAATGGAGGTGATGTGTCTTCGCAAAATAGCATCCGCTTCAGGCGTACAGTTTCCAAGCTGCTGGGACGAACACCCAATTTAAGCTTCTGCAACGCTACGCTCAATTCTCTTGCAGTCTTTACGTTCGCCAAAAATTGAGGTCCTAGGGACCTTTCACAGTCATACTCTGCCACCTCGCATGGAATGTTTTTCACGAGTTCTGCCCACCAAGAATTGGCATTCCCAGGCTTTCCCAACACCTCGGTTGCTGCATAAAGTGTGTCCAATATCAAATAGCGGACGCCTAGGTGTCGAGCAGCATCTCGCGGAGTTGCTGAAAGCACAGACTTACAATGGAATTCCAGCAGGTAGCCTGCGATCACTTCCATTTTGTTGATAAAGCCTTTCATCTCGTTCTGTTGAATCGCATCTTGCAAAAGCAGCGTACGCATATACCGCAGATTGAAATCTATTGAATGCACACGAGGGTTACATGCACGTGCAACATCCAACGAAAACGGCCTCCAAGTAACACCTTGTTGCAATGTTGGTGTTTTGTAAAAGGGATGATCGCGAGAACTGTCCCTCAAGATGGCGCTGAGTTGAGCTGAATTGTCCCCTCCATCACTGGCTTGAACCGCGCTTGAACGACCTGATGCTTGGAGCATTGCGCGGATCAACGGCGCGCCACTCGATTGTTGTCGCGTCGAGCGAGTTGTCCACCCGCGAATTGCCTCATACATCATTCGCCTCTCAGAAGCTGGTAGACGGTCCAAACCATCGGCAGATATCGACGAAACGCTAGTTGCTATTTCCTCGAATTTCCTTTTTCTCCCAGCAAATGCCATAGGAATTCCAGTGGGGATGCCGTCCTGTGTGCTGGGCTGAACCAACTGAGTTAATGAACCAGTTTCAGGCTCTGGCTGAGGTTGAGAGGCCATGAGGTGTGCTCCACGCTCGCCAGAATCCAACGGAGAGCTTGTCTCCTCACCCCGGGGAAGAAAAGAATAGTTGGGTTCCGATGGATCAGGGTTGACCACCCCGCCGGCAGATGGTACCATAGAGTTCGAGCCCCACGCAGATGTGGATGGCCCTTCGTCTGGCGATCCAAGACCCTCCCCTGCCCCTGGAACGCCTCCCAAATAGCCATATTCCCTACTTGTAGCAGGTACATGGGGGGACTGAGAGACGTCAGACGATACATCGGGCACTACTCCCCAGCCCGAAAGCCAAGCATCTTCCACGCTGGAGTCCATTGCCGCTCTTGGCTGCACTACCGGGTTTGGCTGCATTACTGGGCTTGGCTGCATTACCGCGCGTTGCTGCGTTACCGCGCCTGGCTGCGTTACCGCGCTTGGCTGTGTTACAGAGATTGGCTGCATTCCAGCGCCTGGCTGCGTTTTTTGTAGTTCCGGTGAAGCATCCCCAGAAGGAGGAGGTGCCGGCTGTATCGGTTGTACCGTTTCCGAAGGCTGGAAAATATCGGGATGGTCCTCCTCTAGTTCCAAACACAGCTGCACGATTTCGTCGACCATGCGATCTTTCATGTGTCTCCCATCCCTTCCTGCCAGCTGCCGTCCCGCGATCTTTCTTCCCTTCAACGAGTGGGTATTGCCGGCGCATTTCGTCAAGATCAGTAGAATTGCGAAGACAGACAGTAGGGCAGACCCTACATGCAATACACGCACACTGCCTGACCGCCCAGGCGTCTCAACAGCTCCTAACTCCGAAACACCGGTTCTGATATTCTCCTCTTCAAGGGAAACCCGGTTGGAGTCCTCCACTTCGGCCAACGGCACCGACGCATCGTCTGAATCTGAGAACCGTTGCATGTGTGCGTGTCGCAGTAATCGCGGGCTGCCGGCCCCTAAGGATCAACGCTGTCTTTGCAAAAATAGGGGAAAACTAGAAGTTTTCCATGAAAAGAACAACTGGTGTGAACTTAGGTGTGAACTCGGCAGTTTGAATGAAGTCAACCGATGCTCCCAAACGTTGCTCAGGGTAGGGTTGGCCGCGTCCCAAGGCCTGTCCCGCAAGTCGTCCACTGATTTCAAGGAATCCCAAGAACTCTTTACTGTCTTCAATATGATAATATTTATATTAGATCATGACATGGTTTCAGAAGGTCGAAATCGTGCATCGTTTGGCTTGGCACTCCGTCACAAAACGGAGTTGCTGCTGAACATACGGGAGGGGACTTGGCTTGAACTGACAAGGACAACAAAGAGTCTGCCGGAAATAATCGAGAATTGTACTTTTAATTCGAAATCAAGAATTGTGTGGAAGGACGAGGCTGCCAAACCTTCAAGGGCTGAGAGCAGCACGTTCGCACGTCCAGGCCAGGGCCCACATCGAAACAAGAAGAGGTGCTCATTGCGCCCGTTTCACTTGGTTTTCCGATGCAAGCTCATTATGGAAGCAGCTTAGTTAAAACTTAAAATTTAGGTAGTAGGTGCATTTTAACTGAGCGTCTTAATGCAGCATTGTGTCATACCTGCCTGCTCTGTCTGAAATCTGTCTGTTCACTTTTCGGCATCTAGGTTGTCGACTGCGGCGTTGAACATTTCAAACAAATGTTGAAGCGTAGGATCGTGCACCATATAAGCCAGAGCTTGTAAAAATCCTTAATGTGTGCAAGAGGAGATGTCTTGCAATAGTTAGCGCACAGTGTACTAATAGAACTTTACGTTGGCACTTGCTGTGCGTGCAGGTTGGATCGTGGAGGGCACGTTAGTTGTAAACAACTCTGCACAGTATTAGTGTAGGGGCTAAACGGAAGCTTATCGGTGCTTGAACCAGTACTGTCTGCATGGTGTGGTGAAAGTCGTTGGAGGCCTCCTCCTCACCGCGTTCGCCAGAGGTCACTGTGCTGCTCTGCACAGGTGTACTCCTGCTTACTAAACGCAGTAATCCTGGTGACTGTAAGGGGATCTTGCTGCTTTTCTGAAACTCTAATATAACGAACTTGTACTCTCGTGCAGCTCAACAATGAACTCGCCTGAGGTCGAGAACCCTCCGCCTCACGCTAGGACAACGGGGCACTTCTGTAGATGAAGGCTTCCTCATAGGACTGTCCTGTAGTTGGGGCAGTATAATCCAACACAGTTCAACTTTTGAAAAGAGATGGATAGATCCCTTCCGCATTCCAGATTCAAGCTACGCCGCCCCCCTGATGCTGCGACTGTGAAGCCTTCGAAGCCTGGAAATATCTGGGCTCTACGCAATAAATTCGTAGTGACTAAGAATACTACACAGAAAGCCACACAAATGGGCAATGCAGCGTAGGGAGAGCGGCAATGCCGCACAGTTTCTAGTCGACTCGTCAAGTTTCTGCCAATGTGCCTGCTAGCCTGCTTTTCGTGGCATCCTGATTCTTACAAGGCGGTCAGGGGAGTACAGAGGGTTGTATGCTCACTCGGGGTGGAACTGTATACAGCTACTCCATGTGGTGTCGGCCATAATGGGCCTGTCAGCCGTGGAGTTACCATAGCAAGACGTATCATCGTGTCGTTGAACAACGGAACGCTCGAGCAGTATATCCATACACATATATTAACGTTGCTTTGAATTTCTGACTGTATTTGGTGGCCCCATTTTACACGAAGACAATGTCAGCGCTTCTGTGCTGGCGTCTCGAGACGGGCCATGCTCATTCATGACTGCGGCGGGATCCGCTCAGACTACAGCGCCACTGGGCGATGAGGCTACTTCAAACGATATTTCATTAGGGGTCAATATATTCATGCACCCGTTTTTCTTGGGGCTACACGAGGTCGCGACCGAGATGTGCGTTTGCCCCGTTGCCGCTTCTGTCATCTGCATTGGCAGTTGCTGCCTTATTGTTGAGATGTCCTGTTTCCATTGCCACATTTGGACGGCATGGGAAAACAGGTTGAGGGCTGCCAGGTCGGGGAGAGCAGCAGGAGCAGTGTGAGTTGCAAGACCTTGCTAGAGTGTGCGCCGTAGTCCAAGAAGCGCGCAGCCTGGGGAATTACGGGCATTTTTCCGTGATTGTGACACAGCGGAACACGGTAAGAACACCAGCGTATATCCCTGTGTGATACCTAATTCCTGACCTAACTACGCCTGGCCAACCTCCGTTATGCCCACCGGCATACACTACACTCTAGAGGGACTGTTATACGCTACATATATAAGGAACTCTTCTGCGGCAACAGCACCATGAGGCTTGGGCAGCTTTTCTGCTACAGCAAGGCCCCCTGCGCTTCAGAGCCCCCGGGGCAGCCAGTGGACTTATCAAGGAGATTTTGCGGCTAAGCAGCGCTTTTGAGCTAGGAGCTGCTTAGGCGTTCTTGATTGCAGTGTTTGACGCGGGGAGAGCCAATGCCTCCCACCGGCTCCAGCACAGTATCTCATATAGCAGATGATGGAGATGCGTTTCGGCTTCGTTGCTGGATGCTACGTTGCGAAAACGTAACCCTGCCCCTTCGGGTGTTGCTGCCCAACGCCAACATGTGGTTGAGGGGTCCCAATGCACTGCAGTATCTGGGCTTCACCACCGGGCTGGCAGTTTTCGCATGTCCATGTAAAATACCTCACGGGCTGCAGTTCCCCGTGGCATGTAAACGAATTGCCTTTCCCCGTGGCATGTAGACGAATTGTCCTTCGGTGTTTGTTTTGGGACTGTGGACGCCTCCCTCCCCCCTGCTTATCCACAAACTAGATGCCGCACTGGTGCGCTGCTACTGCTACCTTGATGGCTGCCGTGTTCCTCGTACAGTGAAGTGGCACCATCAGAGCCACATAGTTTTGATGGCGCCACTTCACGCTAAGACGTCGGAGTTTGCCGTCAATGTTGCCGAAGCTTCAGTAGTTTCAAAAGGACTCCCAACGATATGAAGTAAAAACTCGAGTTGCTGCGTTTATCACACCTATCCAACATGTGTGTTTGGGCTGCGTGCTCTGGCGTCCCCTTCAGCTCGCTCCCCATTACACGAGCCTACATGGGGCTGCTATAGTAATCCTGTTGCCACAAGCTGTTGTTCCTACTAGCGGTGGCTGCTACTGTTTCAAGGAGGAGAAGAGGTGAGGTTTGGCCCGGGAGCCACGAGAGCCCCCACCGCCCCAAGGTATCCGTCGTGACGCAGAAAAAGCACCTGCAGGGACATATAACCAGCAAACCAACTGGCGACGGGTAGTTGAGAAAGCACAAGCTAGCTCGATGATAGACCACGCGTTACAGGTGTCACCGCGGTGCTCCCAAGAGCCTCATCTCACCTCGAATGGGGCCCACGGAGCCGCAGGCTCAGCAGCAACACCAGCCTGCGTCGACGCAGGCGAAGAAGGGTTAAACAAACAGTTGCTGCTGATGCCCAAAGGTGGGCAGGAAGGCGATCTCAACGGGCTTCCTACAGCTGTTTGTTGCCGACGCTGCTGTTGCTGTTGCTGCTCGTGCAGCTGGCCTTTGTGCGGGTATTCGGGCCCCTCTACCTGCGGTCTTGAAGGCAAGGCGATAGGACTAGAAGCATCTGCCATCGACCCCTCGCAGAGGTCGGGTGCAGCTGCTCCATCAGATGTACCTTGCGGCGGCAGCACGGCACCAGTTCCAGAAGCTTCGGTTGCCACTTCAGCCTCAGCAACTGCATCTGCCGCTGCCACCGCGCGACCTGTCTCCTTCGACTCGCGATCTACGGCAGCAAGTGCCTGTCGCTTTGCTGCTTCAGCGCTTATCAGGAGCTGCTGCTGCAACAGGATCCGCTGCTGTGCGCTCACGTTGAAATTTGGAGGGGCAGCAAGCAGCGGTGACGCGGGTCCTCGAAGGCAGGTTTGTGGGGTGTGTTGGTCGTACTGCTGCATGTAGAAGTTCACGCCTTGAGTAATAGACTCCATCGTAAAATCATAGTTATTAATGAACTTTCCAGCGAAAAATATCCTGCAGCAGCCGCAGCAAGGATGCAGTGAAAATATTCCACTCTACAGCAGATGCTTAGGGTCTCGAAACTCTGCAGAGGTCGACGTCCCACAGACGCTAAAAGGCGCCTCCGCTGCTGCAGAGTCCAGGCAGCAGGGATTGTGGTGCAATGCATCGCGCTGCAGTAGGTCGACGTGCAGATGTGCTGCACCAAAGCAAAATCTGAAGTCCACATTCGAATCTAGCGGGCACGCTATCCTTGCCTGCGCACGCCGTGGGCGGTGCCCACAAGGTAGGCCAGGTAACCCAGATTGTAAGAGACCATGTGAATCAAGCTCCGTGCGATGTCTTCTTTCCTGCAACGCAGCAGAGAAGAGACCAAGCAGGGACGCCTTCAAGAAGTCTTCTCTCCACGTTTTCAGTCCATATTTGTGCATAAGCAGACCTATGTACTCCTGTACAAAGGGGTACGTGAATACATAAATTATATATACACGTGGATGCATGATGAGAAAGCATATTAGTATGTACTGTCTCTACCTGCGTTTGCCCCGACCAAGGCCAACAGGGTGGAAAAGGTTTACAGCGGCCACAAGAAATTTTCCGCCCCCGTGTGCGATGTGCCGGTGGCGGGTATCCCTCACCTGGGGCGGGGCCTGTCGCCCTTGGCATCCAGGTAGAGGCGCCCGAAGCTGCACGCAAAGCATACCCTCTCATGTCTGCGCGTCCCTTTCAACAAATCAAAATCGAAGCGAAGCTTGCAAATGCATGCACAGGCCGCTGCAAGGTGGAGTCAAAACATCTGAAGCGACCTCTGGCACTGCAATCCCCTCTCTGCTGCTATCATAGACCTGGGAAGAGCCTAGCAGCAGCAACGAAGCCCCTCGTAGGGCTCCAGATATCAAGAGGGCGCAAATGCGCTGCTTGTAGCCAGTTGTGGGCTCCTCGGATTCGTGGCACTACCTTCACAAGAGGGGACTCAGCAGCAAATGGGTGCAAAACCGCAGCAGCAACAACGGGCTCAGCTGTACCTGGAGGCCAAAGCGTCGGGGGCAATGCACCGGCTGCCTGCCGCGTCTCCACAGAGATCCGCCACCTTCAAGTCGAGCGCATCCGTCCCTGCAGCCAGGCCGTAGTCATTGCATATAAGGTTGTCAATGGACAACCTCTGTCGCGCGTCGTAAGCGTGCGCCATCCACCTGGCTATCTGGCCACGTAGTTCGCCGGGTAACTGCAAGCCGGCTACGTACCTCGCTCGGAGAGACGGACGACTTGACGGAAGCTTTTGGCGTGGAATAGGAGCCTTGCCAGCCCGAGAACCGTGCCGCCACCAATGCAGGTCCCTGTCACCCTCACGAAGCTGCTAGCGCTCTTAGCCTGCACAGCAAGCCAGCAGCATTCAAACACACAAATATTTTGAACACATGCTTTTGCACTTTAGCAGATGGCGCTTATCTTGCTAGACAAGTAATGATTATGTGCAAAAGTACAAGCACCATCTGGCACATTCTTCCAATGCCACCATAAGCCGAAACAACCCCAAAACGCGGCTGCTTCAGAACCCGAAGCCCCAGCAAGCAACACAACTCCAGGTGCCTCCCGCACATACTACCGATTCGCAAAGCCTATGTGCGGGTCTTTGAATGCACCGGAATAAGTCTATCAGGAATCTGCGGTTTGGGGTCTATGGCTATGGAGGCCTACCTTCAGGATGGATACGCCGGATCCAATATTGACGACCAGAAAAGGGTACAGGTCCCGGGACTGATTAGCAGCACCGCAGAGCGTTTAGGCAAGAACATCCATATGAGACCTAGACGGCAAAGAAACCTGCTGCGAAGGCCCATAACTGGCACGCGCCAAAAAAGCGGAGGATTCAAAGTCGCAACAGACAGAAAGGGAGGCAGAGACAGCACGTGGCGGACAGAACCAAAACACAAACACGAAATACAAACGAACCAGGGAACACAAGCAGCAGAAGATTTATTTGCAGAGAGCGAGCATGCAGCAACCCATCAACAGTCGAGGAAATATTACAGCAGGCTTGCGCAGGGAAGTAGCAGGTGTAAGGAAACACCAGGGCTCGCACAAGGGGCACACTCCAACAAAATACATGGGAAGACACGAAGGCAGGTACATAGGCAGACTAACAACGAGGCGCGATAAGATTAATAAGAGACACTAAAGGAGAGACAAGAATGGACATGCGACGGGCCAGAAAGCAGGCTCGAAAAGAGACACACGAAAGACAGAGAAGAATACACAAGGCCGAGAAAACAGGAGATATAAGGAAACTCCCAGAACGAAACGCAAGAAATGCGCTTACCACGTCTACAGGGACCCTCTGCCTGGAAGCTAAATCGAAACGAAAGACAGAGTTGGTATGGGAGGCCAGCAGTACCAGCCCCGCCATTATGCTTTCAATTTCATCTGTGCGCTGGAGAGACACTCCCAGCTGCTGTGTGAACAGCTTCGCATACTTCATCGCCCCTCCCCCCGTCATGCGCAGCACCCCGCCCTTCACTAAATTCCGCGCTGAAGTAAAAACAAAACACAAACCAAGATGCATGCACGGGTGGAGCAGACAAAGCAGTCTCATAACAGCAGTAGCACGCACGCACGCACACACACACACACCGTAGAAGCATAGTTGCAGCTCCCCCAGCTGTGCTGAAGGTATTGTAGGTGTGCAGTGCAGCGGAAGTCCCTCTCGGAGCTTCTAACGGTGACAAGGAATCTCAGTGTAGCGGCATCTCCAAGGCTTCATCTTTAACGTAAGGGGCAGAAACACGAGCAGTGGCTGATTGTGAAGGCAAACGGCGCAGTGCAGCCACGAGCAGCAGCTCCTCCTCTCCAGTGGGTGGCAGGCTGCGCGTCAAAGCGACACAATCGAGCTCAGCCCGGCTTCCAACAAGGGCGCGCAGCCTCACTTCGGAGACATTCCAGGAGAGACGAAATGGCCTTCGTGCGGAAATAAGTAAAGCGCAGCACCCGCCGAGGAGACGCTGCATAGACACATGCCAAAACCGAAACAACAGCCGCTGCTCTTGCACCATTGCACATGCAACTGAGGCAGCAGCAGAAAACTACAACGGTCCCCAGCGCCAACCTACTAAAGAGAGCGTTACGCAGCGGCAGGGACATAACAAGGGGACTAACCACGAATGGTGAGGAGAGGGGATGCCAAATCAAGCGCTGCATCACAGTTGCTGGCGTACGCCCTGGCGGTGAGTTGTGGGTCTCTGCGGGAGAAGCCGGTGCTTCCGCCGGCCGCCACAGCAGCAGCCGCTGCAGCGGCCGCAGCTGCGCTATGTGGCCCCAGCTCTTCTATAAATACAACCTTTGCTAGGGTTCCACCCATGTCTACCGCACATCGGACTGTTGGAGAGGCTTCCTGCAGCAGGGAGAAGAGGAAGGAAGCTCCGGCACTCAAAGGCTTGCGCGGAATTAGCATAAACATGTACTCCCCTAAGTGGCATCCACAGCGACGGCGGTTCCGGCGGCAGCTACTGCCATTACTGCTGCTGCTGCCGCCATGATGACGATGATGATGATGATGGTGGTGGTGGCGGTGGCCGTGGCAGTTGCCGGCTGGCGCTTCACACGAGCCCTCGGAACATCCCGCAAGAACAACACCGCCGTGATGCCGGCCCTTCCATCCAAACGCGCGACGGCAACCACAAACACCATCAGTGGAGGGTATAGTGGCTCTTGCAGGGTCAAATTCATCCAGTTGCAGCTCCACCTGCTCCCGCCTCTGCAGCTGTTGCTCAGAGTTGCTTGGGTCTCGAATGCAAACCTGTCTGCAGCACTGCCTATGATTTCTGGCGCTCTCACTGTTGTTCGTCAGGCAAGTGCCCGCCCATGCTCTTTTTGCCTCTACTGCATCTGCGGTTGCATCTAGTGTTGCTTGTACGGTTGCGGCTGATGCTGCTTCTGTTGCTGCTGGCGATGCTGTCGCTGCCGCTGTTGATGCTGCTGCCAGCGCCGCACGTCGTGTTAGCGCTGAAGGCAACTGTGAACCATCATTTGCTGCTGGATCCTCAACAAAGGCCTGAAGCTCTTCATGAGAGTCCATTGTGTGCAATATTGTTCTTGCTGCTGCTTGTGTAGTGCACAGGCACTACAATGTGGCTTTGGTGTGATCTCTAGTAGCTTATTGACTATAAAGAGAATGAACATTAGGATTAGAACATTAGTAACTAGGAAAGGGAACTAATGCTGCTAAATGTTCTAATAAACGAGTACAGTAGACAGAGTCATAGGTAAGATTACCCCGCCAGTCACCCATATCGGCGGTGCAGAGCAATGCTTAGTCACCACTTGGGTGCCAGATAGGGCCTTTGGAGTTCTAAATGGAAAAGAAATAGGACTATTATTATATAGAAGTATTATGTCTTTGAATATGACATTTTGGTGGATAGCAGTTATAGGTCAGGCTCCTGACTGTGTCGTCGCCGTTGATATCTCCCCGCCATCTTATAGGTTGGGCGCTGAGCTCCAGTGAAGACCGGGGTCAGCTCCGAACACACAGTTCTTTTATATGAACTTCTTTTGTTAATAACTGAGACTCGAACATGTTTGGTACTTTCAGCATGGACTTCTGGGAAAATGGGTAGTTAGAGGTTGTACTTGGGAAGTGAGTTCACTCCAAGACGATTAGTAGGCACAGCTTAGGACGGCAGCGCACTACATTTGGGGGCTCTTCCGGGACATAAGAATTCCAACCCAGTGACCCCCATATGATGATTCCATTTCCCCGCCGTTGTATAGTGGAATGTGTAATGAGAATCAGCCTTAGCACAATTGAAGAGCCAGAGGAGAAGGCGAGAGGAGACAGTTTGTGGTTGTACTGATACAAGGCGCAAACCATCTGGAGAGGGCAGTGGGGTTCAACGGCAGTGCGACAATTCCATTGCGGGCTTCTGGAGCGTCAAACCCTCCAACGGATTACCTTAGGACAGTTAATTTCAACATTCAGAATGACGATGGAAAGAATATGTGTTTCCTTCGTCATGTGAAGTTGTTTTACCTGGAATACCCCAGGAAAAATGGGGACAAGAACTGCGCGCGAATTTGACCGGGGATGCATTAAAATATTGGTTCCGCCTATGGGATGTCCGGGAAACTGGTAGGAATTGGGAAGCCCTCAAACGCCCTATGCTAACTAGACTCTGCGGGGTCGCACGAGAAGAAATAATCTCAGGTTTATATGAAGTGAGATGGAAGGGAAGTGCAGTAAAGTGTGCCTCCGACTCCTCGGCGGTACTGTGTCAGGGAGTACCCTCACAGCAGGAGCAGCAAGTGGACAATATTTTAGCGAACCTGCCTGACGGCATCGTCCTGAAGTTGACAAATGACCGCCATGTCAAATTCGTAACTTGAAGATGCGGCTATAGAGTTAGAAAATATTTTAGGGTCTAGAGATGAGACATTTACACAACTAGGGCAAACTGGGAGGTATTGGGAGGAACACACACCACACACACACCACACACACACCACACACACACACACACACACACACACACACGACCAGGCACACCAACACCCTCCCCCAGTCTTCCACAATAAGACGTCGATGAGCAAACCCAACGAAACAAGCCATCTCCATTCAGACTCACAGCATG